TTGATTATTAGTAACGACCCAAAAAATTCGGCATTCTGTAGAAAAGAGTCCTTCTACAACCTGCTTAATGCTTATGAAATGCAATGGCCTCACTTACGCCTTCAAAACTGAACTAACATACTCCAATACATGATGTAAATAATAAACCTTAATTCAAAATCCACAACATCAATACCATCCTCAAAAGAGTTAATCATAACCCCCATTTACCTCCAAATATATCTAAATATAGCTATAATCAAAAAGTTCATAGCTTACATCAACTTACATCTATAAAAGTTTCACATCAACTTACATTACATAACTTACATCAAAGTTTTTTTTTTTTTTTTAAAAAAGTCAAGATTACATCTACAAAAGACGGCAAAAGTGATCGAGCTTCCAACCCAATCAAAAATTGTGGTGTATCGTCGTCCGCCACTTCTTTCCCGTTTTCTGAAAAAAAATTTAAAATAATGGGGTGAGCATGAAGCTCAGTAGAAGTCACATAAGGTGTTAGTTTTGGATTCCCTTGAGCCACGTAACATGTAAAGGAATAGAAAAGGAATCAGGGTCATACAATGGGCCTATACAACATTTTCAACTTAATAGGCAACAATTCCAATACTTAACACAATTCCACAATTTCGGTGCATGATATGAAATGTGATGTACCCGTCCCAAATCTAGTCTATGCCGACCCAACCCACACTTTTTGAAAATCCGCTAAGTGACTTTACCGAGGCAAGATTGATAACTATCCTCGGTTCCAAATTCGGCAACCGTTAAAGGGCTTAGCAAGGACGGAGTCAAATTTTTTGTTCAGGGGGGCACATTATACACTAAATAAATATAAATTAATATTTATTGAGTATATATACATAAAAAGAAATAGTTGGATAAATATAAATAGAGATTGATATTTTTGGAATGAGGTAATTCAATAAATTACATATATAGAATATAATGAAACAATTTAAGATTTTTTTTTTAAGGAAACATATAGAGTATATAAGGGAAGGAGAAATTTGAGGGGGGGCACTTTTACACATTTTCAAAAAATATATACCTATTATAGGAATATATATATATATATATATATAAAATAAGGAAAGGAAAAAATCCAGGAGGGGCACGTGCCCCCCCGGTCCTATATTGGCTCCGTCCCTGGGGCCTAGTATCAACTTTTTCATGCCCTGCCGCGCACCCTTTAGGTCAAGCTAGTCCCAGACTCGCGAAATCCTATTCATTGTAAAAAAAAAAAAACTTTCCTTTCCACATCATGCCCAAATCTCATTTTATGCCATGATATGCAATATAACAATTTTCAACCTTAAATCACAAGCTCATCATTATAGTGTCATGAACAACATCAAATCATCTTATGAGAGCAAATTTAATTTTCATGGCATATCTTTAAAATTTAGCGCAACAAAAACTTACTTAACTTAAGTCAAACATGTTCAAGAATTCTTATATAACAAGATTAAACAAGCCATTAACATAGGATTGAAACAACTTATGCTTCACATATATAGACATTCATAAATCAACAATTTTTTTATATCACATCTCATAATTTTTAACATCTAACCAAAGAAATAGAAATTTTACTCAAATGAAGGACAAAACTCAATGCATTAGGGAACCCCTACCTTAAATGGAGATTAGGCTATGCAAAGTCCCAAATTCAGCCCAGGAACCCTAGAATTTGAAATCCCCAATGGTGGCCAAACGACACTTTGCTCTGATCAAAACATCAGCCTCGACGCGCTCGTCAATGTTGCCTTAAGTGGCAAAATCAAAATCCAAATAGAATTGTGTAGATCAAGCTTGGAAAATGGAAAAAGAAAAAGAACATAAAAAGAAAAGAAGAGAGCAGAATGCCGTGAGAGAGAAAAACTGAGGCTCTATAATGGCCTCTTGGTCATTAAAATGATTATATCCTGTGGGTTCCACAAGCTTTAAAAAATATATCATCTTTTTAACATCTCATGCATGAAATGTAATGGACCCGAAATACAACCCCCATGCTCAACAACTCCAATAGCAAGCCTCACCTGGACCTCCCGGCTCGAAAAACAGAGAAATGCCGAAATGGCAACTAGTGCATTTCCAAGAGTCATGGACTCAAGGAAATGTCCCAATCAACACTTTGATACACCCGGCACACTCTACGGTATTTGGCACGCAAAATGAGAAAAGACGAAAATACCCTCACAAAAATCAGAAAATTCCAGAAAATGGAAAATGGCAAAAATCGGAAATATTACCATTATTCTTTGTGGGCTAGACACTTTCTTATCCATCCATATATTGAGACACTCTTTCCTGTTTTGATTTAAGGTTGGTAGTCACTAGCTATTTCAATGTTTTGTAGCTTCAATTTCAATATTGAAATCTATTTAGTTTACATTTTATTATAATAATACTAAAATTTGTTGGCTTGGAAAGTTTCCAGTCCTACTGATTTTGTTTATGTCCAATTTCATATAATGTATGCCCTTGTTGGGAGAAAATACAGTATATTGCTCTTGGTTTTGGAAGTGGTAACACTAATTGTTATGAGAAGTAAATATTGAAATAGAAACAACTTTTTGTTACCATTAACTAGATTTTACAATAAAGTCAGAGATTGTCTGTCAAATGTTGATCGTTATACTTCAATTAATTTCCCACAATTTGCTTGTGCCCCAATGGTTAGCAAACATCCTACAGCATAGTTGATGGATTTGTGGGCTAATTTGGACAACTACGAGGGTTATGTTAGTCTGGCTTCTGGCTTCTTTTATATGTTCCATTTGGAAATTAATGCCGTAATAAATGGGTTTTTAGAAGAGGGAATCGCTATGAGTCTATATTTGGAATTTAATGAGATTAATAAAATGGATTATTCAGTCAATCAGATATTTAATGTGAAGCTTTCTACTCCTCAATGGTGTTCTCCTTCAACAGGTCACTTGTGTTGAATGGCTTCTAACATTAGAAGGTGTTGGAATGCGCAGAGACTGTCGGAAGAAATCTCTGCCATTGCGTTGAAATCATCTGCGGCAACGAGGACCTGGTGGTGGAGATCCTTCTTCGTCTGTTGGCGAAATCCCTTATTCGATTGAAGTCAGTCTCTAATTGGGGTAAGATCCTTACAATTGATAATCTAAGGAAAAGGGGCAATTGTCTTTTTAATTGGTGTTGTTTGTGCAAACAAGATGGTGAGTCAATTGCTCACATTCTAATACATTGTCCAATAGCAACGGATTATTGGAATCTTATTTTTTGTCTGTTTCATATGCATTGGGTTATGCCTCGTTATCCTAAGGATTTGATTTGTATATGGAGAGGATGCCGTGTGAGTAGCGCTGTTGGCGATTATTGGAGAGTTGTACCACATTGTGTTTGGTGGTGCATTTGGAAGGAGAGGAATAGTAGAATGTTCGAAGGGAAAGAATCGTCCATGGCAAGTCTGAAACTTCACATCATACGCTCTCTTTTCAGTTATGTGAAGAGGAAGTCATGTTCTTCTTCCAAAGACTTAATTATTATTTTGGCTTCTTTGGGATCTTAATCCCTAGTTCTACTTTTGTATAAGGGATGCGTTCCCCTCTTGAATGCCTTTTTTATTTCAATTAATATTTATCAAAAAAAAAAAAGTCAGTCTCTAAAAACATGGCTCTCTTTCATCTCTGGTCTTCATTTCTCTATCCTCTGGCAACAACATCAATGCCACCATTATGTGTAGATTTCTAGAATGGAGTCTATTGCAATGGTTCCATTCATTGGATAAGCGACCCTTTGGAAGAATTAGGTTCATTATACTTGCATGTCGATCAAGAAAGATTGTGCCCAATGCCATTTCCATCATTTTGGGATCTTTATATAGTTCAGCATTTTGGGGAGTCTCTGAGATCATTTGTATGTTGTTGTGCGTAGTCGTTATAGATTCAAATTTGATATCTTTGAGATGGAAAGCGATTACTCCAAGTTGCTGTTCAAGCATCGCGTTAACGCAATGGATGACCTTGGGTCTCACCTGACTTGTGACGGCGTGCTTAGTTTAATTCTTGGAGAAAATGATGAAGAAGATTCATTTCTATTGCTACATGAATCTGCCATGAATACAATCATCCTCTGCAACCTTAAGGATAACACTTTTAAGAAACTTGTTGATGTAGACCCTCATCAAGCTTCTTCTTCTTGGCGTGCACATAAATACATTGAGACAATTTAAAAGTCTTTTTGATCACTTGGGCGGACAATGTTTGTTTTTTCTTAAATATATTTAATTTCGTCTAGTTTACAATGTATTATTAATACTACATAAATTGGTCTGCTTAGAGCGTCTTCAATGTCCTCTCAAACTCAAAATGTAGGAGATTTTGGTTTTTGATACATTCCAATGGTGTGCTATACAGCCTCTCAAAATATGAGATTCTCAAAACTTTTCTCATATATAGCAGGTTGGTATAAGATGATAACTTGAGATGCTGAGTCTTTTGTTTTTTTTTTGAACAAATAGCATTTTGCATTGGAGATGCTCTTACAAAGTTTCTATCCTATTGATTTGATTGTGTTTTGTGTCCAATTTGATATACACGAGTAAGAATGTAAGTCTTCAAACTGATCGATTGAAGATGCAGGGGATTAAATTCTATTTAATTGAAATAATTAGGTTTGACAGTCTCTCTAAACGTACTTCTATTTGCTCTCTCGGTCTGTTGTTTCATCTATAAGTTCTTCAATCATAATAACAATCTAAACATACAGATGTTGTCAATGCACTGCTCAAGTGCTATGCGAAGGAAATCAAATAAATATATAAATAAAATCACACTGCTCCTTTGTTTGAGAAATCATTTGCAAAAAATAATTGTTTAAGAGAAGTATTGCTACTTTTTATTACCATAAAACAGAGTTCACAATAAAACTAGGATCATCCTAATTACTAATCTTTATTACTTCCATTGCCGTATGCCCCAATGACGGAGAAAATCCAGATCACTAAATATACAAATTTTTAATTTTCCTTAAACCTTGGTACAATCAGTAGGCTTGAAAGAAACCTTCTTGTTCACAAGATCATACCCAACCAAGAAGTTCACCTGAGATAGGTTCCCAAAGATGGCTATATTATCGGTAGGGATAATGGTTAAGCACGTCAAATCATCTTGTACCTTGGTGAACGTGCTCCACGCCAGCAAATCCAAGACAGCTCCGGTGAAGTGAAACGTGACGGTGGGCACCTTAAAATCATGGCCCTTAGTTGCATAACAGAGTTTGAATGTCCCTTGTGGGTCTGGGACTCTTTTAGCTCCTCCGATTGCAGCAACCAAAGCCGACTCTAATCCTTTGTAGAAATCCTGGTGAAGAAACGTTAGGGTTGTCCCTGAGTCGATAATGATGTTACCCTCATTGACACCAGCTTTGGATTTAAACGAGGAGGACTTGTATGGCAAGGTCTTGTTACCAACTGTGATACCCTCCAGGGTAAGATAGTAGAAGGATTCAGCTGTTTTTGAGACCAAGGGAGTCGAAACCACCCCGGACCCTGAAACTGTGGCATTAGTACCAAAATTTATCTTGCTTGTGACACCAGAAGAAGTTGCATTGAATGGCGGCACTAAGCAATAAGAGAACTTCCCATGGATGTTCTCACTCAATTGGTTCACTAGTGATAGTTGGGCCCCTCCTAGGCCTATTATCCCAGAGGTTGACTCATTGAAAATGCCCCCATTGTCACGTCCACACCCAAAAACTACTTTTGGAATAGAGACTGGGTGTCCAGAAGTGGAACCAAAAGTGAATGTTTCAGCAGCAAGATCACCAAAGGTGGAGGACCCATCCCCATAAAACACAGTGTACTCACATACGCCGGTACAACTAGGCGGCTCCTCCAAGGCTTGACATGCTTTAGAATCGCAGGAGAAGGCTTTGTAAGTAGAAGATCGTGTGGAATTGTAGATGGGAGCTTTTTGCTTGTAACAATTAATACAAGGTTCGCATTGTGTCCATATAAGGGAACTCCCAGTATCTGCGATGCCAAGAATGGTAACAGGTGGCGTTCCAATGGACAAATTCATGAGGTACTCACCAGCAGAAGCTATCATTCGTGATTGGATGGAGTCTTGAGGGGTAGAGGTAGAGGTGGGCTTGAAATGGGCGGCACGGAGAGTTGAGCGATGAAAAGCATTGCGAAGACGGTCGAAATGGGTGTTTGATGGGTTGTAGAATGGAGAGAGAGGAGAGTCACGGTGTATGAGGTCAACAGTGAAGCCACCACCACCATTGCTGGCCTCAACATTAACTGAAAGATGAACGAAACATGAGACAAAGAAAGTAACATAAAACAGAGCAGATAAGTTGGAGAAGCTGGCAGCCATGGACTAGATTTAGAGAGAGAATGGGATGAAGAAAGAGCTTTAAAATTGCACAATTTATAGGTACGCAGAACCAAAACAGGCTCTAGATGCTCAAACCATTGCGACAATAGCAGTATCCTTGACTGCTGATATGAACCCATTTATTTTTAATTAAGAGAAAATTAAAGGATTGAAAAAGAAAAAACAGGTTTACATTTATTATTTGGCTGTATTGTCGCTAATGTTATGGAATTTTTTTCTAAATTGGAGAGTATAGTTTTATGATACGCTGTCTTATTTATGTTTTTGATCTAACGTGTACATTATGAGATTATTGTAATAAACGTTAATTTTTCATTGCTATAATAAACCTTAAATCTTTTTTTGCCTTTGACCACCTAATCTCATCCACGAACTAGATATATTGGAAAACAGAGGTTGAATTACTCCTCTGTCCAATATTACTATATTAGTAGTTGATCTTCCTTTTTAAAATGTTTCAAATTAGTTATCTTATCTGAAAATTTATACAAAATAATTGTTATCTTTTTATAATTATTCTTTAACTTAAAAAAAAAAAAATTTAACTTGGTAATATAGATATTTAATCTTAATAAAAAGGCAATTTGATGATTTTGAAAGGAGAAAATGCATTAATTGGGTCTTTTTAAAAACTCCTAATACCAAAGATGAACAATTGATGTGAGAATAGGAAATATGATTATACCAATTCTTTTAAGAATGTTTAAAACCATTTGATTTGATATGTACTTTTTCTCTCCCATATTAGGGAGATTTACTTTATTGGTCTTCTTGTGTTAATGATATGGTATAATCAATAAATTAAATACTCATATAGTAATGATAGAATTCACTAAATTAAAAGATATAATTGTTGAGTTGTGATACTCACACCCGAACACTTACAATGAATTGACTAATCTAATAATTTTTAATTGACTATTTATACTAAATACAACTAAGTAGAGGGCTCAACTTTTTTATTTGTTGCATAATTGACTAAAAAAAGAGTAGGTTTAGCAATTCACTGCAACTATTCAATACAAGAATCATTTTTCATAATTATTTGATGACACTAATATTCGAATAACATAGCATATTGATTTGATTTGATTTGATTTTTTGCGTCTTGTGTCTAATTTGATATACCCGATTATGAATTTTAGCCTTCAAACTACAACTATTGAACTTGAATTGAGTCATGAGTTTACTTATTTAGTTGCAGGGGATCAAATTATATTTAATTGAAATAAGTGGGTTTGAGTGCATCTAATTTATGCTTGGGCATTGTCAGTGGCGAAACTAGAAAATTTAAGAGTAGTGCTATTGCGAGAGTTTTCTCCCAAAAAGTTTAAAAAACTCGTGTTTAGAAATCACATAATTTCTATATTTAGGGATTTGAAAGAAATTTAATTAATAAAGAATTCTTTTTAAGTAAGGAAACAAATCAAACTTTTGTTTTCTCTTCTCTCCACGTTCTCTCTTGGTTAACCCTTAATCAATTTGCCTATTTCTCTCTTTTAGTTTGAACACATAAATTTTTTAGGATGAAGCTATTCCAAAGCTCAAAAACGCGAATAAATTAAAAAAAAAAAAAATCTCAAATAAAATAAAATAATGTCACGAACATGATAAATGAAGTCTAACTTACGAGAATCTAGTACGTCAGCGAGGAGGGATGGAATGCAAGTGGAGAGACTTTTTGATTGAAAGACAAAAGGTTAACTATGAGAGAGAAATTTGTTTCCTTACTTGCAAATGATTCTTTCTTAGTTAATTCTCTCTCAAATTCCTATTTCTCATATAGGAATTATGTGGCTTATAAGCGCGAGCTCTTTAGACCTTTTGCAAGAGCGTTTTCGTAATAGCACTACTCAAAATTTTAATTAGGGGCCAAATTAGTATTGTAAAATTCAAATTTTAAAACAATATAAATTATTGTAAATATATATATATATATATATATATTTGGGTGCATTTTAAACATATATTATTAAAAACATGTCTATAAATCATATACTAAAAAAGTTGAAAAGAAGAGTTATGGACAATTGTTTTTACTAAATTTGATTCTTTAATAGCAAGAGGTTCATTGGACTTTAAAGGAATTACAACTTACAAGTAATTCATTTGTAAATCATCCTTAATAATCACAAGGATCCAGAATTTTTTTTAAAAATTTATAGAGACCAGCTTTAATTTTTATGTAGAAACCATCATTAATACCTATGATTTAGTATCATAAATAGTGTTACATTTTTTTTTTTTTTTTTTTTGAGGGGTATTTATTTAGATTGTTACTTATCTAGGGTCTGTTTCATTGGCTGGGCTTCCTGTAGCCTCAAAATGGGCTTCTAAACCAGAAAGTCTTTTCTCAATAAAAAGGAGTAAAATTTCTGAAAACGAACTTTTAAAAAGTCTCAATGGTTTAGAAGCCCGATTGACCAAAGCCAATAAAACATGCTTCCTGATCAACTTCCCGCAAGGGACACACTTTTTAAAGTTATATTTACAAATATAAAATTCCTATATAGTCAATTATTTAACTTATTTCTATTTCTGAATTCCATTGCAAACTTTTCTCTTTCTCTTTCTTTTTTCTGTATTATCTTCTTTTGTACGTTCTTTATCCAAAATAAATAAATAAATAAATAAAAATGTTGAGCAAAATTTCACAGATGAAAAAAAATATTGTTGAAAAACAATTCAACAAAGGAACAATAAAGACATTGAGGAGTGGTAGAAAAAACTACTTCTGACTCCCATTTAATTTCAAAGTCAAAGTTCCAAGATTTATGAACTCTCAATCAAAATTCAAAATATATATATATATATATATATATATATATATATATATATTTATATTTATATGTATATATAAATTTTTTTTTTTTGAAGGCTATCGTTCCACTGTTAAAATAATTTATAGCTTCATTTGGGGAAAAAAAAGTAATTTATAGCTATAAATAAAAATAAAAATGGGATATTTTTGTTGCCATCTCTCTCTTTCATCTTATTTTTCTTTCCTTTTCTTTTTCCATTATCTCTTTCAACTTCTATTAGGCGAAAAAAAAAAAAAAAAAAAAAAAAAAACCCTTCTATGATGTAGATTGAGTAAATTTGCATACCTTGATCATCATTACTATGTCAATTAATCGTTGATGCATCATAAGCAATTTCACTCCATCACTTTTTTTTTTTTTTCCTTCCCCGTCTTTTTACATCCCAATTCAACTCTATGCTATTATTCATGGATTATTAATTAAGGATATAATTGTCAAGTAAAATTACGTTAATAGTTAAAACAGTTTCAAAAAAATTCATCCACCAAACAACTTTTTTGTTTTAAATTGGCAAAAGAGCAAAAAACACCCATAAACTATACCATTGTTGCAAACTGTCCCCCTTAATTATTTTTTGGAGCAAGTTGTCCCACTCAACTATTAAAAGCATGCAAAATGCCCCATTTAAAGCCATCGGAGACGACTTTCCGACTGGCAAAGTGATACAATTACTAATTTACCCTTAGTTATTAATTTATTATAAAATATGAAATTCATGAATGTAAAATACCAATAATGCCCTCATATTTTTATTTTATTTTTTAAGCCAATATGGTTGTAATCGCCCACAGTGATGCCGGTGATTTATGTCGGAACAGAGCTTCAAATTGTTACATCAACGTGAAAGGCATTTCTCTCTCTTGGACTCTCCCATCATCATCGATAACCCTCACACACGTCATCTCTCTGGCGGATTCTCCAAAACTCTGACTTTCTCTCTCTAACAACTCTCCATTTTTTTTTTTTTTTGTCTGAAACTTAAACACTCACACACACATAGAAATTCCACAAACAAAAACACTTGCCCCTCTCTCTCTCTAATCCCTGAGCCATGGCGTCATCTCTTGCTACAACAGCTTCGCCCTTAGCTGCTTTGGTTACTAGAACTGCCTCCAATTCAAGCTCTTATTTACCTATTCTGTCTCATTCTCACTCCAGGGTCTCATTTCGTCTCTCTCCCAAACCCAAGCTCTAAATCTTCACCAAGGTATGTATGCATGTATGTGCAATTGCAATCTCTCTCTAAAAATTTCACTTTTCTCTTTCTATAAATTCATCGTATTCTTTGAATTCTGTTTGAAGTTCCTTGTATTTATGAGATCAATCTCAGTTGCTCTCTCTGTTTTTGTGTGTGTGTGTGTGTGTGTATATATATATATATATGTATATCGATTTGTACTACAAGATGGTTTTTTTTTTTTTCTCTCTCTCTCTCTCTCTTTATCCTTTTTTTTTGTCTCAGTTTGGCTGTTGCGAAAATTGAGCAAAAGTAAAGAAAATGCATTGTCAATTGCATGATACAAAATGCCCGAGAAAAAGTAACCATCCGAAGCTCTGTTCCAGCATAAATCACCGGCGTCACTATGGGCGATGGCAGCTTTGGCTTCGGCTTTCTACGGCGCGTAAGCGCGGAATACTGAAGAAAAATAAAATAAAATAAAAATATGAGGGCATTATTAGTATTTCGCACTCATGAATTTTATATTTTTTATAATAAATTAATAACTAAGGGTAAATTAGTAATTGTATTATTTTGCCAGTGGAAAAATTGTCTCCGATGGCCTTAAAGGAGGCATTTTGCCTGCTTTTAATAGTTGAGGGGGCAACTTGCTCCCAAAAATAATTCAGGGGTGCATTTTACAACAATGGTATAATTTAGGGGTATTTTTTGCTCTTTTGCCTTTTAAATTCCTTTCATCAAAATGCATTCTCTAAAGCCGATTCTATCATGCATAACTCCCATCAAATTATAGCAAATGGAATAACTAACTTTTGTTTGATATTAAATTTTAATACTAATTCTCAACTTCACTATCATTTATTCATCAAAAAATTGAAAAAATATACTAGAAAATGTCACATAAAAAGAACAACTTTTCATATTTCACAAGCAAAATTGTCCAATAACAAAATATACCATCTACAAAGTTATTAAAGGAGCACAATATGTTCTTGTAACTTATAATATCAAAGTTATTAAAGGAGCACAATAATATCATCAAACATCCAGCCATTGGATGTGGTAATCATGCAAGTTAATTATGCGTTGTATACTTTTATATATGAGTAATTTTGCATGTTATTATTTTTAGAAATTATGGTTGCATGTTTTAGTGTATTTGTAGTATATTAATTAGCTTATAATAAAGAATAAAATTGCATGAATTTGTATATAGTGAATCTTATGCATTTAAATAGTTATATACTTCAGGAACCTTTGATTTCTTTCATAACAACCAGGCAACATCATATGCAAATGAAAAACTATTTATATGCATAAGATTCACTATATGCAAATTTATAAAATTCTATGCAAAAAATAACCCTCTAAACCATTGGGGGAATTAGCAACTAATCCAGAACTGCTAAAGTTGCAACTAATTCATAGAAGCATTAATTTTTTGTTGCAGTTTACCCCATTGGTGAGGCTCGCGTCAAATCTAGCCATTAAAGTGACCATGTGACGGTGACATGACACACATTATTATTTTAATAACCATAATGCCCGTATGAACATGAAAAGATACTAATGATCCTTATGGGGTGGCAAATTAAGACACGACAACATTACACAAGTTAAAAGGGTTCATCGTTAACACAACAGATATATAGAGAAAACCCCTACACTGTTCATCGTCAACACAGCAGTATAGCATATATAAGAACCCCTACCAGGGGCGGAGGGAGAGGGGGGCCATCCCCCCCCCCCCCCCCCCCCCAAAAAATAAAAAAATAAAAAATATTAGTATATATAAAAAAATAAAAATATATTAGTTTATTAGTGTACAACCCCCATTCATTCAGCAATTAGCATATTAGGGCACAAGCCAGCGAGAGGGAGCCCCGTTAAACTAACTTTTATATCCAGATGCCTGACATCTCTGAGCGAATAGAGTTGATGGTGAAAAGAACCTGCGGTCCCAAGGACGGCCAGAGAGGATTCTGACAATGAAGCAGCAATAGGGAGTAGCGTGACTGACCTGCCACCCACGAGCAAGGATTTACAATTCTGCCAAGGCGTTAACAATCAGTGATGCACAACGAAATAGTGTTGATGGTGACCCAATTCCGGCGAAGTTGAAGGCACGGTGGTGCCAAAGAGCTATTCCACATTCTGACATTCGGTAACCCTTTTCAATTCTCTCTCTCTTACCCATAAATTTAATTTCCCCTTTTCCATTATTATATGTATGTATATTTGCTTGTTTAGTTTATTCTGTGCTATATCTATTCTATAGCCTATGCTCTTTTCAGTTTCCTTTTTTATATAATCATAGAGATTAGAGCATATATCTAATATCTATACACTATAGCCCCTGTTCTTTTCAGTTTACTTTTTCGTAGTTGGAATATCAATTATCTTTTTATTAATTTATTCTTGTGGTAGATGCACATATCTATGTACAATGTTATGTGTGATTGAAATTTTAATAGTAACCAAAATGATTTTATTCTCTAAACCTAAATCAATGAAATTTTAATAAATAATTTATTTTGTATACTTTGCACAGGCACAATTTATTTTTTATACACTGCACAGGCGCACAATTGTGAGTGATAACTTTTTTATATTTTAAATTTATTGTTTTATATGCAATGAGGATACAATATTATTTTTACTCAATTATGCTTATTAGGAATTTAGGATCGATAGTTTAAATTACAATGTAAAACCTTAGGTTTTAAAAGTTTATATTTGAATTACCCTCTTTAGATACAATGTTATACGATGGTGAAGCCAAAAAGAACTATTGACGCATTTTTTTTTAAAAAAATGATGTGCCTTCCGTGGCTTCCGCCTCTAGTGTTGATGTTTCGGTTTATGATAACCAGTGTTCTCCAGAATCTCCAAGAGTTAAACATACAAAAGTTGATCCTACCTTTTTAGAACGTGATCCAGGATTACGTCGTCAAATATGGGATTATTCTATTGACAAACGTGATGAAGTTCGATGAGCTTACATCAAAGCGAAAGCATACCAAATTTCGCTTTCAGAATATCCGCTTTCTGGATTGGAAAAGCATCCTCGTCGGTGTCAATCATCTTGGTTTAAATTATTTCCTACCTGGTTAGAGTATTCTCCTTCAAAGGATGCTGCATTTTGCTTATCTTGCTTTCTTTTTGGAGCAAAACCAACGGGGCGTCCCAGAACCAATGCATCACTAGTGAAGGATTTCGAAGTTGGAAGAAAGTTAATGATGGCAATAAGTGTGCTTTCTTAAATCATATGGGAGGAAGTCCATGTTCTGCTCATGACGTTGCTGAGAGAGCATGTAAGGACTTAATGAATCAACCTTGTCATATTAATATAGTGATGGATAGACAAACTTCCGAACAAATTTTAAATAACTGATTGAGATTGAAGGTCACAATTGATGCGGTCTGATGGCTTACTTATCAAGCTTGTGCTTTTAGAGGGCATAATGAATCCCTTCAATCAAGCAATCGAAGCAATTTCATTGAAATGGTAAAGGCTTTTGCGTCATATAATGATGATGTTGCTAAAATTGTTCTTAAAAATGCTCCAAAGAATGCCAAGTATACCTCCCCACAAATTCAAAAGGAGATTTTGCATATTCTTTCTACAAAAGTGAGAAATAAGATTCGTGAAGATATCGGCGATGCCAAGTTTTGTATTCTTGTTGATGAAGCTTGTGATGAATTTAAAAGAGAGCAATTAATGGCTTTCGTTTTAAGATACGTTGAAAAGGATGGTTTTTTACAAGAATGTTTCTTTGATCTTGTGCATGTCAAAGATATAACGTCATTAAATTTTAAAAAGGATCTTTGTGTAGTTCTTTCTCACTATAATCTTGATGTTCACAATCTCCGAGGTCAAGGTTATGATGGTGCTAGCAATATGCGTGGTGAATGGAATGGTTTGCAAGCATTATTTCTTAATGATTGTCCTTATGCATATTATGTGCATTGCTTAGCTCACTGACTACAACTAGCATTAGTTGCCACATCTAGAGAAGTAATTGTCGTCCATCAATTCTTTTCAAATTTGAATTTCATTATCAATAGCATCGGAGCTTTTTGTAAACGAACTGATGAATTATATTCTGCTCAAGTTATGGAAATTGCCCATTTGATAGATCTTGATGAACTTGAAATCGGCCGAGGAGCTAATCAGATTGGTACCTTGCAACGACCTGGAGATACTCGTTGGAGCTCCCATTTTGATTCTGTTTGTAATTTGCTAAGGTTATTTGGTCCAACATGTTTAGTTCTTGAAAACATCATTAAAGATGGAAGTAATTACAAAAGCCGGGGAGATGCTGATACTGCTTTTAATACTCTTAGATCATTTCAGTTTGTGTTTATTTTGCATTTGATAAAAAATATCATGAGAATAACTAATATCCTTTGTCAAGCTTTGCAACAAAAATCTCAAGACATCATAAGTGCTATGCAATTGGTTTCGAGTACAAAACAAATCATTCTAAAATTGAGAGAAAATTATTGAAACAACTTACTTGATATTGTTAAATCATTTTGTGAGCGCCACAACATTGATGTGCCTAATTTGAGTGTTCCTTATACCAAAAAAATTAAGGCCAATCACGTCACCCACAAGAGAATATTACACTTGAGAACCACTATTGGATTGATATATTTTATGGCACAATTGATTCGCAATTGTAGTAGTTGAATAACAGGTTTAGTGAAAAGGCAATGAAACTTATTACTCTCAGCTCAGCTTTGGATCCTAGAGATGGTTACAAGTTGTTTAACGTCGAAGACATTTGCACGCTTGTAGATGAATTTTATCCTCAAGATTTCATGGGCCAAGAGAGGATTATTTTGACATTTCAGTTACAACATTATAAGGTTGAAGTGCTTGCTCATTCACATTTGAAAAATATGTCAACAATTTTTGAGCTATGTAGAGGATTAGTGATAATAGAGAAGTCAAAAATCTACTTTTTGATTGATATGTTGATTCGTCTTGTCTGGACTCTTCCAGTTTCCACGGCAACTACAGAAAGGGTATTTTCAACTATGAAACTTGTCAAAACACAACTGCGCAATAGGATGGAAGATGAGTTTCTTGCAGATTACTTAAGCATCAGTATTGAAAAAGAAATTGCTCAGACTTTTAGTACAGATTCAATTATAGATGATTTTTCTTTTCTAAAAGATCGTCGAACTCAATTTTTGTAGTAATTGCTTGGTCTTTTTTTTTTATTTTTTATTTTATATATATATATATATATATATATATATATATATATATATATCTATGTCATATTTGACCAGATATAAGTCAACTATTGTTTTGTAAATAAATTTTTGTATGCATCTAATCGATCACGAAGAGTCATATATATATATATATATATATATATATATATATATATATATAATCCTTGTGAAATGCAATTGCAATTTCTTTCTTCTCTTCCTCCGTTTTCATCACATCCTCTCACCAAACTCCAAAACTCATCTCAACCCTCAAAACCCGAATTCTCTCAAACCCACAAAACCCCTTTCTTACAGATTGGCTGGAGAATCGAAGAATTCAATATCCATATTCGCCTTCATCGCGATCGCTTTAGCTGTCGCCGCTGTAAACCCATTTGTGGCACAATCAAAACCAACTCCTCCACCATCTTCCCCATCCCCACCGACGGCACCATCACCACCGTCCCCACAACTACAGCGGCTACATCACTCCCATAGAAAAACCACGTCTTCTGTTCCTTGAAACCACTCCCAACGAAAAACCCAAGTATGTCTGAATCACACTCCAGTTGGTGCAGCGGCGGGTGGGTCTTCTTCTTCTCTCTGGTCTTTGTGGTTGTGATGGTGGCGGCGGAAGTGGGGTGGTGGGTTTGATTTGGTTTGACAGTTTGTGGTGGTGTGTGTTTCAGTATTAATTCTTTGAGTTTCCGAGACAATAGTTCATTGTTCATTTTGGTTCACGTTGAGGGGGTTCATGGTGCTGGTGGTGGCAGGGGCAGGGGCAGGGGCAGGGGCAGGGGCGGCTCAATGTAAGGCGAAAAATAAAAAGTGACATTTTCATATCATAATATGAAATATATTAATTATTAAATAATAATTAATTAAAAATTATCATTATTGCTTTTTGAGATGCAAACTTATTAATTAAATTCTTAAATTCAAATATAGTTAAAATATTTTTTTCAACAATATAGCTAATCCATTTAATCTTTCTTTTGACATAGTTGATGGTAAATATGATTTTATCAACTTTAATTTCGAAAAACTTCTTTTTGTTACTGCAACAGTTACAATATAACTTCATTTAGAAAGCCCCAATTCAATACTACTGCAAATTCTTCAATAAAATAAAAGTGCGTTCAAATTGAGATTTGAGACTAATGAATATTGAGCAGAGAAGAAAGAAAATTGTAAAGTTGTAATGAGAGAGGACTAAGAAGGGAGATGACTTGTAACTTGTAAGTAACTTGTTGAGTTTGTTGAAAGATGAAAGAAATCAAAATAAAAAAGTTTGTTTGCTTCCCCAAAAAACGGCTAAATATTTATTATATTGCAACTTACCGAAAAAATATTAAATATATATATTGTTGGTGTAAAAAAAAAAAAAAAAACGTGAATAGGATAGACAAACAAAAAAAAATATTAATGAGATATTTTAGGAGATAAAAAAAAAAATAAAAAAAAAAAGATATTTTAGGAGATAAATAATTTCTCTCTTGGTTAAAGTTTAATGAAAAGACGTGAATGATGATAAGGAGAGAGAAAACATAAAAAGAAGACTTATTTTAAGAGAATTAATGTTCAATAAGGAAACAATTACAATATATCATATATAAGATAATTATAATATTTTGGGGCCTTTTTATTGGTTGGAGCCTTAGGCAGCTGCCTAACTCACCTAAGACTCAAGCCGCCCCTGCGTGGTGGAAGTGGAGGTGGTGGCAAGTGGCCGTCATGGAGGTGGGGTGAAACTAAGGGTGCAACTTGGGCTGGCCAATCCGGTCCAATTGGAATTCAATTAAAAAATTTGAAACTTAGACTTTAAAATTCACAAATTAGATTCAAATCGAGTTAGTTTTCTCAAAACCCAACCATATTTGAACCGAACCCAAGCCAAAACCCAATTTTTTATTTATTTATTTTTTATTATTATTACTTCCAAATCTCTCTCTCTCTCTCTTTCTCTCTCTCTCTCTCTCTATATATATATATATATATATATATATATTTTAAATCCAAATTAAATTTATTACCGGGAATGTATGACAATGATACCTATTAATTTGAATTATAGTTATACATATAGTTGTAACTCATATTTGAATTAAGCTACATTTACCTAAATATATGATTGAAAAAATTCAGGGAAAAAAATAAACTAAAAATAAAAAATAAAGAAAAGAAAAGAGTAGGAAAGGTGAACGAACAGAAAAGGATTAGTACTGAATGATTTTTTGAAGATCAAAGTAAACTAATTTTTTTTGAAAAAAATTTGATTTTAAATCCGAAGAAACCAAAAATGTGATTTTCGCATATTTCTTTGAAAAAATAAAATTAAAATAACAAGTTTTACTTTTGTTGTATTAATGAAATAAAATTAGAATTGGAAGCACACCAAAATTAATAATTGAATACTTAAGTTATAATACCAACTGGCCATAAAAAAAAAATAAAAAAAATAAAAAAAATAGATATTTTCAAACAGATGTAATTTGCATATTTGAAAGAAAAAAAAATGGATTGAATGGGTCAACCCGTCCAACACGAAAAACTTTAGGTTTGGGTTACTTGAAAGCTCATATTTGGGGTGACATCGGGCTAGCCCAAGCCAACCCTACTTCGGATTGAGTTTGGGTTGGGATCGGGTTGTATTGGGCCTGCCCAACTTGCACCCCTGGGTGGAAGTGAGGTGGGTGCGAAGTAGAGAAGAAGATGTCATAGATAGCTTGTGGAATTTTTCAAAACCATGTCGTTTATGTTTAGGGTAAAAGAGGTTTATGTTTAGGGTAAATTTGTCTTTTTCATTTTTCAGTCATTAGCAGGTTACCCAATGTCCCAAAGTGCAACAAATTGTTAGTTCGAGAGTGGGTTTGTAATTCAGGAGATTTCTTGCAAAAGAGAAATAGTTCAGGTGGAGCTTCTTTTTTTTTTTTTTTTTTTTTTTTTTTTTTTTTTTGCTCTTTTCCCGTCGAAGAATGATGTTCACTTTTTATTCAGTCAAAGAATGATGTTCATGCAAATCTATTACAAACAGATTTGCGGACTTGTTGATATTATTAGTTAACCGTAAAACTTCAGTGCTGGTGCTATTATTGTTTTCATCTCCCACCAGTGACGGACCCAGAAAATTTGGTGAGGGGGGGCGAATTTTTAATTTGTGGATACAAAATTATATGATGGGTTTATTTTTGTAATTTTAGTAGGGTTTTTTTCATAAATTTTTAAAAAATTTAAGTATAAAATGAAAAAAAAAAAATCAGTGGGGCAAATTATAATTATAGTGGGGCATCTTCATAAATTATCAAAATTTGAAGTATAAAATGCTAAAAAAAAAAGAATCCAGTGAGGGCGAATTGTAATTTTAGGGGGGGCATTTTCATAAATTTTAAAAATATTAGGGTATAAAATGAAAATATTAAAAATTCAGGGGGGGCATCTGCCCCCCCTAGTCCCCTGCTGGGTCCGTCCCTGTCTCCCACGGAAACAGATTGTTGAGTTAGAAGTAAATATTGAAAGAGAAGCAATATGTTGTTTTGATTATGATGAACATAATTCACAATAAAGTTAGAGTAATGTTGAAAATAATATGAACATATTATAAAGCATTCAATTTTTTGCTTTAAAAAAAATTTATGCATGTAATTATAAATAAAGCATAAAATGATATTTATCCATTTAAAACAAAAATACTATTATGACAAAGTAGTAAAATAACAATTCATAATTTCATTTTCTAAATTATTTTTAAAATATTCTTAGTATAAAAATTATAAATTAATCAGAATTTTATAATACTGGATGTAAATATAAATATAAATTTATATTTATTTATAAATATATAAACCATGCGTTTTCAAAATTTGACATGGAGTGTGTCCTTATCCATATCTATGTTACATAGCTTGTGGGTTTATGTTTGATTAGGATTCTTTACCAAGTTTAATTAGGATATTGGTGGTTTACTAGGTTTGGGTTTTATTAGACTCTTTCTTTCCTGATTAGGATTTTGGTTGCCTTTTTAGTACTTAATGCGTGTTTGACAACATTCCATAATCACGACCCACCCTAAAGAGATTCCAATTGATCCAGAAGAAGAAGTTGAAAGAATGGGTTCTAACATTAGTTGCCGCCAGAAACCGTCGGAAGAAATCTCCTCCGCCGCCGCTGAAGTCATCGGCGGCAACGAGGACCTGCTCATAGAGATCTTTCTTCGTTTGCCCGCGAAATCAGTCATTCCATTGAAATTAGTGTCTAAAACATGGCTCTCCCTCATCTCCAGTCATCACTTCTCTCTCCTCTGGCACCGGTACCGACGTAACAAAATCTCCGGCATTTTTTTCAACTCTGGATTAAAAACTGAAATAAAATATATTCCTCTCATAGAATATAATAGTAATAGTAATGGTGGAGAAAGTAAGTCGTCTCTAGTTGTCGTTCCCAATATGCAAACAAGAATCTTACACTCTTGTAATGGTTTTCTACTTTGTGTTGATTCCTTGTCTGGTAATTACCAAGTTTACAATCCTACTACCAAGCAATTCTCTTTTCTTCCCAAGCCTTCTTTCCATTCTACTGGTGATAATTCTCTATTTTCTTGCGCTAATATTGTTGACCGTCTTCTATATTTGAGTTTTGATCCTCTCAAATCACTTCACTACAAAGTTGTTTTGCTTCATGAAATAGTCCACAGGTTGTATGAAATACATATTTATTCGTCGGAAACCAGGGCATGGTGGACTCCGTTTGATGATAGTAATCCTTTCTCCGCACCAGTTGTACTGAACATCAATAATGGAGTCTATTGTAACGGTTCCATCCATTGGTTTTCCTTATCGTCTAAAGCGACTTCCATGTATTTTGACGTTGATCAACATAGATTTTGCCCAATGCCATCTCCGCTGTATGAGGCTCCTTATAATTGTCGGCATTTTGGGGAGTCTAGAGGTCATTTGCATCTCACAGAGCACACTAATTATGGCTGCTTTAACATCTCTCAGATGGAAAGTGATTACTCCAAGTGGTCATTGAAGTATCGGGTGGAGCTTGACGCCATGGATGATTTTGTATCCCACCAGAAGATTTGGCCAAATGTGGTTTATGTGCTTAGTTTGATTCATGGAGAAGATGGAGATGTGTTTTTGGTGCGATTTCTAGGCAGCAATATCATCTTTTCTTACAACATCAAGGATAACACCATTAAAAAGCTGAATGATGAAGGATTCGGTGATGAGTTTTTTTTGTTTAATGGTCATGTCCATTCATGTATCGAGACACTCTATGCTGTTTGATTGATGGTGTGTTCATTTTAATCACTAATAATTGGGGGTCACCATTTCAATTAATGTTTTGTAGTTTCAACTTATTCAGTCTTCCATATCTATCTAATTTACTTTAAATTTAACAATATCATAGTTGGTTGGCTTGAAAAGTTTCCTGTATTTTGTTTATTGCATCTTAAAGTCCAATTCCAAAAGAAAAAACTTTTTTATTGCCATAAACCGGATTTCACAATAAAATTGGAGGTCATCTTAACTGTTGATCCTAATTTATACTTTAATTAATTATTTAATTTCCCACAATTGCTTGTGTCCCAATGGTTTGCAAGCCAAACATCTTACAACAATTAAAAGATCACTACTTGCATCACTATACCTATTAATTTTTCTCCCCGGCGTGGTTTTCAAGTTAATGAGATTATTCTTTTTCTTTTTAGGGTTAATTACAATGACACCCCCTGAGGTTTGATACATTGTCAGTTATATACAAGTTGGAGTTTTTTTAAACAATGACATCCCCTTATCAAAAATTGCATCCAAACAACCCCTAAAAGGTTATGAAAAGTCGAAATTGTCCTTTAATATTTTATTACTATTAATGAGAAAATATCAAAACTCTTTAAAGACCAAATTGCCCTTTGTGTGAGATCAATACCAGCCACACATTTTTTCTTTCCTCGTCATCTTCTGTCTATCCAAACCCACCGGATCACTCACCATCACAGCCACCACTCGACCACCACCTCTTCACCCACAACCTTTGGATTCAAAATTTTGATGGAAACATTCATAGTTCATGAGATCGCTCGGGATAAGAGAAGATTAGATCGTTTGGAACTTCTGCAAGTCTTTATCTTGGGCTCCGGTGATGGTGACGACCAGGGTGACGAGATTGGGTTCCGATGATGGTGATTAGCTAGTAGCGGGATGACACGGTGGTGATGCATTTGCGACGTCGACGGCATCTATATAGGGTTATATATATATATATGAAGAGAAGTGGTGGATGTGGCTGTGGGTAGCGGTGGTATGGTAGGTGCTTTTGGGAGGCTGGAGAGAATAGAGAGAACTTGGGAAGAAAGGGAAAAAAATATTTGGTCACTTGATACACCTGTGGTATGGGCGAGGGTGGCGCCGCTGAGGCCGATGCACTCGAGGCGGCCGCCAGTGTTGCAGGATAAGCGGCCGCCGGTGTTGCAGGATAAGCGGCCGCGCCAGTGTTGTTGCAGGATAAGCGGCCGCCGGTGTTGTTGCAGCCAATGCTAGGTCAGCGTCGGGAAGGAACTCGTTCTTCAACTCACCGGATCTCTTAGCGATGACTTTCGTCTCCGTGACGACCTCGTGATCTGCCGTGGGCAACCACGCCTCAATTTGGGGGTTCACCGCCGCCGCCAACAACTCGACCTTCGCCTACGCAAACACGAGCGAAGCAACAATTACCGTTGAAGATGATTCGCGAGATGCTGATGGCTCCAACGACGTCGGGGAACCACCGGACCTGCGGTGGAATGTGTCGGTGAAGAGGCAGTCGAGGCGGCGACTAAGGAGAAGCTGCTTGAGGGGTTCTTGGAGGATGGAGATGATAAAAGGCTGATGCGCGCTATCAACAATGGGGATGTGAACTGAGATTCTGATGGAGAATCCATGATCGCAGAGCTAATTGAATTAGAGTCTTGAACCCAATGAGAGTGTACAGAGGAAGTTGGGAGGAGAGAGAACATAGATGGCAAAGATGTGTAATGCTGAAGACATATTTTCTTAGATGTGTGGCTAGGATTGTCTGGGACCATAGATTGGTTTGAGGGTTAAATTGGTCAATTGAAATGATTAGGAAGGTTAAAAAGGTAATTTTATAATTCAAATGGGTTAATTCGCAAGTGAAAGGGCATTAAGGTCATTTTATCTTGTTTGGGGTGTCTTTGTTAACTTTATCCAACTTAAGGGGGTCTTATTGTTCAAAAAGAGGTTAACTTGTATATGGGTGTCATTATGACAAACCTCAAGGGGTGTTATTATAATTAACTCTTCTTTTTATTATAGTTTCAACCCGGCCTTGGCATAATTATAATCTGTATATGTTTTTATATACAATCGTTAATATTCTGTTTAGGGTAAGATTCACCTCTTAAGGTAGCTTGGTTTACTCTCTAATCCCTCCTCTTAGTTTTGCTGTTTTTATCTTCTCAAACTATATGTTCTTTTTTTATAATCTAACTTTGAAGGAGGATAAGTTTTAATATATATATTTTTTATTGGATTGGTAGTGAATGAATTACCAAATATGTCTATAATGGGTCATACGATGTGATGATTTACTTTTTATAAGTTCAAATATAAGAAGGTTATATTGATTATATTACAAAAAAAATAGTACTATGTCTTTTCAAATAAACTATTTATTTTGAGACGATTAAAAATGAAAAGGTGAACATTTAATATAAAAAGGAGGGAGGATGAACTTCTATTTTTTCTTCATATTCATAGTTATTATCTTATTCTTTAATATAGTTTATATTTTTTCCAATATCTTCTTCCTAGAAGACTTGATTATCTTTATCTTCGTATTGTTGCTAACTCCAGCAACTTTCAATTTTTTCTATGAAATTTGAGCTAAACCAAAATCCATTTATAGCGAACTTTTTTTTTTTTGGGGTAATGTTTTTTATTTTATTTAATACAAATTTCCAAAGGTGAGATGAGATCAATGACATGTTGAAGTTTTTATGTTCTAAAATTGGTTCGTAATTTTTTTTGTCGGATCTGGAATGACCCGATTTTGATTATTGGGACGGGTATGAACTCACATGCTTGCTCAATAACTGAACTATTTGTGGCTTAATATAAAAAAATTATATATATATTTTAAAAAAAAGAGTCATTGGGTTGGATACCAGTTACACCAGTCATTTAATACACAACCCCGTTAATGACTCACCACAAACGGATAGTTCGCAAGTTATGAACCCGTTTGTGACCCGCCCAATTGTCACCCCTACATGTATAAATTGTATTTTCCTTCTTCTGATGGACCAAACAGAGCGGACCATATTACTCCGAACTCTTTGAGATTGGGTAATGAAAAACTGACCTCTTCACAAGTGTAATCACCAAGAGTATGGTTGTGTTTAAGAAAGTAAATTTGACTACAAAAATAGGTGTCATCGAAGCTGATGGTAGTGTGAATTTCAAACTATATGAAAAATAAAAATAGAAATCAACTTATGTTATATCGGTGCCTTGAAATTCGAAAAATAATTGTCCACACCTAATTTTCTCCTGTTTCAATTTTACGGCATCAATCCAATGCAATTAAAACTAGTATTAGCGTCATTGGTATATCAACTTTCCACATTTTAGAAATGCAACAACTGTCTAAAACAGGCAATTACCAATGGCATTAGTTGAGATAGTATGAGCTCTCCAAGCATTGTTAGAGCAATATTGTGAGTGTGTGTGCATGTACTTGGATATATACCTAAAGCAAAATGGACGACATTATATGAAACCAGGTACGCAGCCAGAAATTTGTGGTTGGGGCCCGGGTTTGTACTATGTAATTAAAGTGGGAAAATTTTATACACCAATTGTAAAAATTCTTATATTTGAACTTTTAAAAATATAGTTAAAAGAGTTCAAATTGAAAATTTACTAAATTTTAAGAAGACACAAAGTAAATTTATTTTCGAATTCTCTATTTTGGGTCAATATACAAGTATTTTTTTTTTTTTTTTTTTTAAAAAAGAGAGGCTAATTAAAGTTTTTAATAAATTTTAGTGGGCCATGGCCCGCCCACCATCGGCTCCGCCCAGTATGAAAACTCTAACGTAATTTCAAACAGATCGAGCATTAATCATCTATTTTTCTTTTATTGTTCTTTTTCAACTGCAATTTGGAAGGAAGTTTTTGCCAACTTCCTTGCTTCTAGAACACCAATTGGCACCAAGATTTGGAGTGGGCAATTTAAAATTGAAAAGGTAAAGCATTTTTATAACGAAATGATTTTGTAGAGATAAAACTTTTTTCGCTTAGCGAAGAGAAGTTAGATTAGTAGATATAGAGAGTCAAAATCTGACACTTCAAGTTTTACCGAAAACACTAACTTATCAAGACATCTGCTTAAATTTGTTTCATTTGGACTGAATGAAAATAAATATTTATATATGCATATAAATAAATTTGATGATAATAAATAAATAAATAAAAGAACAATTGAAATTGTGTGTCCACTGTGTGGAGAACTTTTCAATTCTCATTCCAAGATGATTGCTACTTTCCAGCTCTCGTTTTGCATTTGCTTTGTTTTGAGCTGGAGGATCATTAATAATACATCAACTATCTTGAGAAAATATGGTTGCATTTAAACAAGGGCAAAATGCTTGTTTTATATATACAGTATCTAGGATTATTGTTTACTAAATTTTTTAAAAATTATTGACAAGATGTTTATTAATATTAAAAAAATTATTGTATATATATGTAGTATCTACAATACTTGAACTTATTAAATTGGTATTATTTGCCTGATCTATTATTAAACTAATATTAACATTTATAAGAAGCATGTTTGCATATATTAATTAAATTTTAGCTAATGCCAAAATTTTTTATAAATATATATATTACAAATTCAATGATTTTACTTTGAATAATTTTTTCGTAATATTAATTAGCTGACCCGCATATGTACATTAATTATATCATCACCCCAAAATTAGATAATACTATTCCTTTCTCTCTAACTATTAGAGGCAAAATGATCTTTTAGTTTTTCTATTAAAAAAAATTAAAAATATGAGGATAATTTAGACATTTTGCACTAGTAATTTATATAGGATTGTCAAGATAAATCTAAGGACGTGTGTTGTCTTTATAGAATAAAGTTTTTATTTTTTTTATTTATTGCCAAGAATCGAATCACACCGCCTTTTAAGTAGAATAAAGTTTGGAGCAAAACGTTATTCCGTAATTAGGTTTTCACTGTTTTCTTATGGAGTATTTAGGTTTCCTTATTTTTAACTTGTCAGTGTTTGATTAGAAATTCACTTTTTCTCTTTGCCCTAGTTTTATTTGGATTCGGTTGCCTATATATATAAAGTCTTTGCCCTATTCTTTTATTTGGATCTGGATTGGATTGGAGTCAACAAGCAGTGAAAGAATAAGAAGTTGGATGGCGGCTTCCAACATTAAAAGGTGGCGCCGGAATATATCCGCCGCTGCTGAAATAATCGGCGGCAACGAGGAGCTGGTTGTGGAGATCCTTGAGCGTCTGCCATCGAAATCCCTGATTCGATTCAAGTCAGTCTCAAAAACATGGCTTTCTTTCATCTCCAGTCGTCGCTTCTCTCTCCTCCTCTGGCAATGGCGATTACATCAACAACATCCCAAAATCTCCGGCCTCTTCTTCAACTGTAGATATGCAACTGAAGTCAGATATATTCCAACCACGGACAACATCGACTCCTCTGAAAACAACAATTCTCTAGCACTATTTCCGGACTTCTCTAATGGTGAGTCTGGTGATTGGCATACTAAAATCATAAGACTCGTGTAATGGTTTTCTACTCTTTCGTTCAAGGCTAGGCTATACTTGCAGGTGTATTTACAATGTCTACAATCCTACTACCAAGCAATTATCCACTCTTCCCTGGCCTACTTCCCACACTTACTATGATTTTTTATATTTGGCTTTTGATCCTTTGAAATCTCTTCACTACAAACTTGTTTTTCTTCAGAGACTACTACAACATGAGGAAGCGGTGGACTACTTGTATCGAATATATATTTATTCTTCAGAAACCAATGCGTGGTGGAGTCCCTTTCCTGATCCTTTCTCAGGACGAGAAATGGACTTCACTGATAAGGGAGTCTATTGTAATGGTTCCATCCATTGGATTTCCTACCATTAGGATGCAGCTTGGTTATTGATGGATGTATAATTTAAATATCCATAATTAAGGGAAGATTGCTAAATTAACGCACTATTGAGATAGGCTCTGCAGATTACGATAAGGATTACAGATTGAGATAGGCTTTACAGATTACGATAAGGATTAAAGATTGTGATAAGGATTAAAGATTACGATGAGGATTAAGTCTACAGATTACAATAAGGTAATTCTACGTGACATCTTAACCTAAGCCCTATAAAAAAAGGCGAGGTAATCAACGTTTGGAGGTACGCAAAAAACTCTAACTCAAGTTCTTGATTTCTCTTAAGAGATTAGTTCGCACACTGACTTATTCGTCGGAGCCTACTCCACCGGTAACACACCGGTGCTTGTAGGATCACCTTTTTTTCTCTCTGTCCAGGAAGTTAGATCAGATCCGGGTTGCGCAGAATCCATCATCAACAGTTGGCGTCGTCTCTGGGAACGATTTTAGTTCTCTAAATAAAGTATGGTTCGATTGCGATCTGGTCTAGTTGCTGGCGAATACGAAGCGTTGCAAACTTCTGATCAAAGGGACTCGACGAGGCAACCCCCCACTGTCCCAAACGATCAGGAACGCGTCACAGCATTGGAACAATAGGTTTAAACCTTAAATAAGGGAATGAACCAATTAGTCCAGAAAAATTCAATGATTCTACAACGCTTAGCCGACCTTAATGAGGTGGAGAATAATAAAGTACCCAATAATGACTCCCGTAGGATTGACAACGACGCTGAGCTTAGTCAAATAGGGGGTCAACAGAGAAGCCATCACCATCGGTCTCTTGAACGGAATAATACCAGGCTCCGTGCAGGTACCTCTGGTTGTGTTAGTGACAAGACTGAAGACGTCACTTATTTCAATCTGTAGATGCAAGATCTAAGAATTAGGGTCAAAGACGTCATGCAAGTAATGAAAGGAAAGGGCCAGGCCACAGTGAACGATTTGGTATAGAAGACCAACCTAGCATTTAGCCTCGCTGTTATGTTATGAGTTGTCCTCTACCTAGCAAATTTAAGATACCAACTCTTGAGAGCTTCGATGGGACGCGGGACCTTCTCGATCATTTAGAGACCTACAAAGCTCTTATGTATTTGCAAGTCGTACCGGATGAGATTATGTGCAGGGCTTTCCCTACCACACTAAAGGGTTGGGCTCGTCTTTGGTTCAATAAATTAAAGCCAGGTTCCATTGAAATCTTTAATGAGTTGAGCAAACAATTCATTGGACACTTCATCGCTGGGCAGAGGCATAGGAGACAGCAACACACTTATTGAATGTGAAACAGCAGAAGGGAAAGCCTCTCCGTGGTTACATAAGTTGTTTTAACGCTGATATGCTGCAGGTAGAAGAGGTGGACGACAAGGTTGCCCTCACAGCCTTTATTGGAGGACTACAGACTTCTAAGTTCCTATTTTCCTTATCAAAAGAAGCCCCTACAAGCATGACAGAGTTGATGGTTAGAGCATGGAAGCACATGAACGCTGAGGATGCTATGAATGCACGAAAAAACAAAGATGGTGAAGATAAGAGGTCGGAGAAAAAGAGGCAAGCACCTAACACTAGGGAGGAAAAGGAATCGAAGTACAAGAAATTCTCAAACAACCAGGCTGACAAATCGTCTCGCCGCCCAGTGAGCCCAGGCAGGTATAATAACTATACCCCCTAAATACATCTGTAGAGCCAGTCTTTCTGCAGATTCAAGATGACGCATCATTGAAATGGCCGCCAAAGCTAAAAGCTGATCCAACAAAGAGGTCTCTAGGTAAATACTGTAGGTTTTACCGGAACCATGGACATAACACAGAAGATTGTTTAGACCTCAAAAACCAGATCGAGAACCTTGTTCGTAAAGGTCATTTACGCAAATTCACAACTAGAAATGGAAAAGGAGGCTCCAACCCAGCCCGGGAGGGCCGAGATGACCGCCCTCCTCAACACCAACCAATGGGTGAGATCAAAGTTATATCGGGTGGCTTCGCTGGTGGTGGTGAGACAAGTTCGGCTCGGAAGGCTCATGCTAGGAGAATTCGGAGTTTTTCAGAGGTGAATGAAGTTGGAATGACAAGTCCTCCAACAAAATTACCTCGAGTTGAGGAGCCGGTCATAACCTTTTCTGAAGAAGATGACAAGGGAATTCACCAGCCCCATGATGACCCTCTGGTAATTTCCATGGTCGTTGCTAATTTCACTGTTCGACGAATACTGATAGACAATGGTAGCTCGGCTGACATACTATTTCTTAGGGCGTACGAGAAATTGAAAATTGGCCGAAAGAAGTTCTGACCCATGAAGTCACCACTGGTGGGATTTTCAGGCGACAAAGTATATCCACTGGGGGCAGTTACCCTTCCAGTTACTGCAGGAGCCAATCCAAAGCAAGTCACTGTAATGGTGGACTTTGTAGTGGTGGACTGCCTATCATCATATAATTTTATCTTGGGGAGGACAACATTGAATGCCATGAAAGCAATCACGTCCACTTACCATCTCCTGATGCGTTTCCCAACTGAATATGGTATGGGAGAGAGCTAAGAGGGGACCAAACAATAGCTCGCGAATGTTATGTCGCCTCTCTCAAAAAACAAAATCGCAAGAGGCATTTACGATTGAAGGGCTGGAAGGGAAAGATAGACCAGACTTTCATAGAGCGGAACCTACAGAAGAGCTAGAAGAGGTCATCCTTGGTGATGGTGAGCCCGAGAAAAAAGTGAGTATAGGGTCTTTACTCCCCCCAGGTATCAAAGATGAACTTACTCAATTCCTCAAGAAGAATTGAGACGTATTTGCATGAAGACATGCCGGGTATAGACCCCACTATCATGGAGCACCGCTTAAATGTAAATCCTGACTTTAAACCTGTCAGACAAAAGAGGAGTACTTTCATTCCAGAAAGAAATCAGGCTATATCAGAAGAGGTGAAAAAGCTCTTAAAAGTCGACTTTATTCATGAGGTGTACTACCCCGACTGGCTGGAAAATGTGGTCTTAGTGAAGAAGGCAAATGGAAAGTGGAGGCTATATGTGGATTTCACCGACCTTAACAAAGCTTGCCCGAATGACAGCTTTCCTCTCCCAAGAATCGATATGCTCGTTGAGGGAACAGCTGGATACGAACTATTAAGTTTCATGGATGCATATTTTGGATACAACCAGATATCTATGTACACCTCAGATAGAGAAAAAATGGCCTTCATCACTTATAGAGGTTTGTACTGTTACAAAGTAATGCCGTTTGGGCTCAAGAACGCTGGTGCAACATACCAAAGGTTAGTGAATGCAATGTTTAAGCATCAAATTGGTAGAAACATGGAGGTATATGTTGATGACATGTTGGTGAAAAGCTTAAAAGCTGAAGACCATTTGACTGACCTGCAGGAGACCTTCGAGGTACTTAGGAGGCATAAGATGAAACTCAACCCCAGCAAGTGTGCCTTTGGGGTTTCTAAGTCTGCAGCAGGGAAACATGACAGTGGCGGAGTATGAGCAGCAGTTCACACGCTTGTCTCTCTTTGCACCGGAGGAGGTGGATACAGAGAAGAAGAAGCGCAACAGTTTTGTCAAGGGACTGATGTGGTCTATCAAGAGAGCTATTATAGGTAGTCCAGCCTATACTACCTATGCTCAGGTGGTAGATGCCGCTCTACAACAGTATCAGTTGACTGTGGACATCAGACAGGCTCGTGGTGAGAAGCGGGGAGATAAAGACTCTACAAATCAGTCAGCTGAAAAGGGGAATGGCAATGGTCACCGGCAGAATGACAAAGGCAAGTTCCAAGGGCAACAGCCTTGGAAGAAGCACAAGGGTGGTTCAGATGCTCATCGGAATGGGGCACCCATTCAAAGGCAACAGAATGGGGGACCACAGGCAGGACAGGGTCAGCCACAGGCTAACCGACAGAGGAGGCCATTTGGTACTTTCCAGGGTAGTTGTTACACTTGTGGAGAGTATGGTCATACCACCAGGCAGTGTCCTAAAGCAGGATAGGGACAGGGACAGGGACAGTATGTGCAGCAGGGACAGAGGGCACCAGTGCCTCTACCAGCTTCACAGGTTCCACGAATTCAGGGACAGACACATCTGGCTTTACCGGCACCGCCGCAGACTCAGGGACAGGCACCACAGCAGTTGCATTATGGCAGGGTGTATAACCCCAAGCCACAGGATGTTCAGGCACCTCAGATTATTGAGGGTAAGTTTCCTATCCATGGTTTACTTGGACGTGTTTTATTTGATACGGGTGCTACACACTCATTTGTAGCTAGGACTTTTGTTGTTTTATCTGGGATGGGGACGAGGGTATGCACTAGACCTCAGGGTATTTCTACACCATTGGGTGATACAGCTATTATACATGAGAGTGATGGGCCTGTGACACTAGATATTGGCAGACTCAGATTTCTAGCCAATCTATTGGTCCTGGACATGCACACTTATGACGTGATACTTGGGATGGATTGGTTGTCTCACTACCATGCCCAAGTTGATTGTTTTGATAGATCTATTATTTTTACCATACCTGGTCAGGATATGTATGTAGTAGCTATGCCACGTTCTAAAGGGGGCGGTAGCACCTATTTGTTCCATGTGGAGGAGGAAAATAAGGAGGGAATTACTGTGTCATTGGTTAACATACCGATTGTACAGGATTTCCCGGATGTATTTCAGGAGATTCCAGGGTTGCCACCTAGTCGCGAGATCGATTTTGTGATAGACTTAGCTCCAGGCACTGCGCCTATTGCTAAGGCACCCTATAGGATGGCACCAGTAGAGATGAGAGAGCTGAGGGATCAGATTCAGCAGTTACTCAGCCAGGGTTTTATTCGTAGGAGTACATCACCTTGGGGAACACCGGTTCTGTTTGTGAAGAAGAAGGATGGTTCGCTTCGTCTGTGTATAGATTACAGGGAGTTGAACAAGGTTACGATTCGTAACAAGTATCCTTTGCCCAGGATTGATGACTTGTTTGATCAGTTAAGGGGAGCCACATACTTCTCCAAGATTGATCTGCGTTCTGGGTATCATCAGCTGAGGGTTAGGGAGCAGGATGTTCCTAAGACAGCGTTTCTCATGAGATATGGTTCTTATGAGTTTCGTGTTTTACCGTTTGGGACGACTAATGCACCTGCAGTGTTCATGGACTTAATGAATAAAGTCTTCCGGGCTTATTTGGATCAGTTTGTTATTGTCTTTATTGATGACATCTTGATCTATTCTCGGTCGGAAGACGATCATGCTAGACATCTTTGCATAGTCTTGCAGACGCTTCGTGAACACCAGTTATATGCCAAGTTTGAGAAGTATGAATTTTGGCAGCGGGAGGTGAAATTTCTGGGTCACGTGGTGTCAGAAAAGGGGATCGCAGTGGATCCGGCCAAGGTTTCGGCGGTGGTTGAGTGGGGACAGCCTACATCACCTACAGAGATTCGGAGTTTTCTCGGTCTGGCAGGATATTACAGGAGATTCATCCAGGGGTTCTCCAAGATAGCAGGACCACTCACTCATCTGACCAAGAAGGGTGTACAGTTCGTGTGGGATGAACACTGTCAGCGAGCTTTTGATGAGCTGAAAAGGAAGCTGACTTCTGCACCGGTTCTGGCTACTCCGCAGAGCGGGATAGAGTATCTTGTTTACACGGATGCATCGTTGCAGGGTCTTGGATGTGTATTAATGCAGGAGGAGCGACCGATTTCTTATGGATCTCGGAAACTTAAGCCTCATGAGCTTAATTATCCAACACATGATTTAGAATTGGCAGCAGTGGTCTTTGCCTTGCGTATTTGGAGGCATTATCTGTTGGGTGAGTCCTTCAGATTATTCAGTGATCACAAGAGTCTGCAGTACTTGTTCACTCAGCGGGAGCTGAATATGAGACAGCGCAGATGGTTGGAGTTTGTAAAAGACTATCATTTTTCTATACAATACCATCCAGGGAAAGCGAATATAGTGGCGGATGCACTCAGTCGTCGACCTGTTGGTAGTCTTTCTGCTCTATTCACTACTGAGTGGAATGCTTTGACGAGTATGGATGAGTTATCGGATGCTTTTATGGCTTGCATGGTGGTTACACCTTCCATCATTCGCAAGGTTTTACAAGCACAACTCATTGATCAGCAATGTGTTGACAAGGTCACAGAGATAGCTTCTGGAGAGGTTTCATTCTACTATGTTGGGGCTGATGGAGGTTTAAGGTACAAGGGACGGTTAGTGGTACCTTCTGCTGATAATTTGAGGAAGGATGTGATGACTGAGACTCACCACTCTGAGTTCTCTGTTCATCCAGGAGGCGATAAGATGTATCAGGATATGAAATGAAAGTTTTGGTGGGCAGGTATGAAGAGGGACATTGCTCTTTTTGTTTCTCAGTGTAGTACTTGTCAGATGGTTAAGATTGATCATCAGAGGCCGCCAGGAGCTCTACAGTCACTACCAATTCCGGAGTGGAAATGGGAGAGCATATCTATGGATTTTGTGGAAGGGTTGCCAAATTCTTTCAAGGGGCATAATTCCATATGGGTCATTGTGGATAGGTTGACCAAGTCAGCTCATTTCTTGCCTATTTGCACTGACTACACTTCAGAGCAGTTGGCGAGGCTTTACATTTCAGAGATTGTGAAGCTGCATGGCATTCCATTGTCTATTATATCGGACAGGGATTCGAGCTTTGTATCTGGATTTTGGAAGAGTTTTCAGCAGGCTTTAGGTACGGAGTTACACCTTAGTACTGCTTATCATCCTCAGACTGACGGACAGACTGAGAGGGTGAATCAGATTATGGAAGATATGCTTCGGTCGTGTGTTCTGGATTTCAAGGGCCACTGGGAGGAATATTTGCCACTTGTGGAGTTTGCTTATAACAATAGTTTCCAGAAGACTATTGGGATGGCACCTTTTGAGGCGTTATACGGTCGACCGTGTCGATCACCTGTTTGTTGGATGGAGGTTGGAGAGAATCGATTCTTAGGTCCTGAGTTCATCAAGGATACCTCTGAAAAGATTACTCTTATTCGAGATCGCATGCGTACTGCCCAAAGTAGGCAGAAGAGCTATGCTGATCGTCGCACTCGTGCTTTGGAGTTTCAGGTTGGGGATCAGGTTCTTCTTAAAGTATCTCCTATGAAGGGTGTTATGCGTTTTGGGAAGAAAGGGAAGTTGTCTCCGCGGTTTGTCGGTCCATTCATGATTACGGATCGAGTTGGAGCCGTCGCTTATCGGTTGGCACTTCCGGATACTCTGGATCGCGTTCACAACGTGTTTCATGTTTCCATGTTGCGGAAATTTCTGCGAGATGAGGATCGGTATCAGCATATCGATGTTGGGGAGATTGAGTTGCAACCGGATGCAACTTATTTAGAGCCACCGTGTCGTATTGTCGACCGACGAGATCAGATTCTTCGTAATAAGGTTATTCCTTTGGTTCGTGTTCAGTGGAGTCATCACAATGAGGTTGAGTCTACTTGGGAACGGGAAGATGCCATTCGCTCGCAGTTTCCTGGAATTTTGGAAGAAGGTAAGAGCGAATTCCGAGGACGGAATTCCTTTTGTTAGGGGGGAAGAATGTAATACCCCTAATTTTCAAAAGGATAGTCTCGGTATTTTGTTTAATTGTTTTCTGTTCATTAATTGTTTTTGGTTCATTAATTGTTTTGAATTATATTTTAATTGACTTTTTAATTATTTGATTTACTTGACTTATTTGTGTTATTTGAATTAATTAGTTGGTTTATTTGTTTTCTTTGGTTTAATTAATTATTTGAATTATTTACATTAATTGTGATAATTGTGATTATTTAAGTTAATTGTTTAGTTATGTGTCTAATTGTAATGGTGTTATATTTAATTCTTTATTGTAAATTTAAATTGGTAATTGTCTTGATTTAATAATTAGGGTTAAATTGGTAATTGTCTTGATTTAATAAGTAGGGTTTTATTTTTAATCAGTTTGTAAGCCGTCGTAGGTTTCTCAGTATGTTGGATGGGCCGGTTAGGATTTCAGTTGGGGCTTGAATTAATTTAGGGTTTAGTAAAATCCTATAAATATATGTTAGATGTTTGGTTAGGGTTTGAGAAACATAACAAAACCAAGTATACGACTGTGGAGACAAAGGAAGAACAGAGAGGGTTCACGTTGGTTTTCGTCGGACCTTTAGAGACGGCGTAGAGATTTTTGGACAAAGATCTCAAAGGCAAGTTCTAACCTTACTCTCTCCCTTATACTCGTGTTCTTTGCATACTCAATAGTTCCAGGATGAATTACATGTTTAAAAATAAAAACGTTATCTGTTTCATGTTTAGAGTTTAACTGAAACTGAATTTGTTTTAAAATTGTTAAACTGGTTAACTTTGAACTTTCTTGTTAATTCTTGGTTTAATCCATATTAGTAGCATA